GTCCCCGAAGTGAGCGGTCGCTCGCCCTCGAGGTTTTTATGTTTAGCGCTTAGCAGGTGCATGGCGCATGCGACTCCGTCGGTGCGCCCCCCCTGTAGTGCGACGCCATAGTTGATGATGTGGACGGCGCCTCCATGGCTAGTGTCCAAACCAATCCCACTAGACCGCGCTGTAACAAAACGGCCTGTCGGGGTGGAGTCGCGCCTCCGCTCGCGCCGCTAGGCCGCGCTCGGACTTCGCGAACAAAGTCTCGGCGAGGGCGCGCTGCCTGCGGGGCCCCAGACACAGGCCCCGAGCGCGCGCGTTTCATCCAGCCCCCCCCCCCGTAAGGGTGAGATTTAAGACTATGTGGCGTGAGTGTGGTGTGTGTTTTCTTGCGTGAGGTGTGTCTCCTTCCTTTCTCTCCTCTCCTCTCTCCTTCCTCAGTTCTCTCATATCCTCTCTCCTCCCTCCTGCCTCCTCTCCTCTCCTCTCCTCTCCTCCCTCCGCTGTGTTCTTGTGTCGGGAAAGGATTCAATAGGTTTGAGTCATATTCAATCACGTGGATCGAAAGTACCAACAGTTCTAAAAAAAAAAAACTGACAGGTCTAAAAAACCAAAAAATCAAATGATTTCAGAACTTATGCTAGCCCGTGGAGGGCCGCCCGATATTCTTCGCCAGAACCTTGAATTTTTGTTTTTTTAGATCTGTCAGGTATTGTTTTGTTGTTTGTTTGGTTTGTTTTGGTTTTTTTAGACCTGTCAGCACTTTCCTGTTCCTCCTCCTCCTCCTCCTCCTCTCCTCCTCCTCTCCTCCTCCTCCTCCCTCTCTCCCCTCCTCCTCCTCCTCTCCTCCTCCCTCCCCCCCGAGGAGGAGGAGGAGGAGGAGGGGCCCGTGGAGGGCCGCCCGATATTCTTCGCCAGAGCCTTGAATTTTTGTTTTTTTTAAATATGTCAGGTCTTTTTTTGGTTGTTTTTTGGTCTGTTTTGTTTTTTTTTTAGACCTGTCAGCACTTTCCTGTTCCTCCTCCTCCTCCTCCTCCTCTCCTCCTCCTCCTCCTCCTCCTCCTCCCTCTCTCCCCTCCTCCTCCTCTCCTCCTCCCCCCCCCGAGGAGAGGAGGAGGAGGAGGAGGAGGAGGGGAGGAGGGAGGAGGAGGAGGGGGGGAGGAGGAGGAGGAGGAGGAGAAGGAGAGAGAGGGAGGAGGAGGAGGAGGAGGAGGAGAGGAGGAGGAGGAGGAGGAGGAACAGGAAAGTGCTGACAGGTCTAAGAAAACCAAAAAAAACCTGACAGATCTAAAAAAACAAAAATTCAAGGTTCTGGCGAAGAATATCGGGCGGCCCTCCACGGGCCAGCATAAGTTCTGAAATCATTTGATGTTTTGGTTTTTTTAGACCTGTCAGGTTTTTTGTTGGTTTTTTGTTTGGTTTGTTTTGGTTGTTTTAGAACTGTTGGTACTTTCGATCCACGTGATTGAATATGACTCAAACCGATTGAATCCTTTCCCGACACAAGAACACAGCGGAGGGAGGAGAGGAGAGGAGAGGAGGCAGGAGGGAGGAGAGAGGATAGGAGAGAACTGAAGAGGGAGAGAGGAGACGAGAGAAAGGAAGGAGACACACCTCACGCAAGAAAACACACCCCACACCCCACGCCACATAGTCTTAAATCTACCCCCCCCCCACCACCACCACCCCCCCACCCTCCCCGCGCATGCGTGCCGCGGCAAGACCGAGGCGCGCTGGTTCCATAGACAGCGACCTTCCATCGTGCATGGTCAGATTGTAGCTGATGGTGTCCGGTTGCGCAACATCGGATATTCTCGCGCCAGTCGGGTTGCGACGAGGTGTCTGGTCGGACGCGGCCGTCAGCTCGCGGACGGACATCGGCGCGCGCGCCGCGCGCAGCGCGTGGCCGCGCGGCGGGGATATGGAGGCGCAGGCCTTTAGGATACCAGTTGGTTCAGGAGCATTGGGGGTGTGGAGGCTGAGATTCAGCGCAAGTCGGGCACTCCACTGGGCCGCGGCATGTTGTCATGCACATCACACCTGATGTAGGAGCAAGCCACGTGAAGATGTAGCCAGATTCGCGACCAAATGAAAAGTGCGGGTGCAGGGACTAACTATGCGGTGATGAGCTGAGAAGTAGACAGACGTGGCCTTTGTCTGGCGCTATGGCCCCAAGGAACCGCACAGGGTCGTGCAACTAGCAAACGGGACAGCGCTGCCCTGAGTGACCGCATAAAGAACGAACCCCGCGCCCCGCTTGTAGAACATTAGACAAATGAGACCGTCAAACGACGCGTGGACTGCAAGCGAAAAGAGCTCGACGGCCAACCAACGACAACGCCGCGCAATTCAATGCGAACGGCCCACTGCTGCTATGCTCGTTAGCGTTCGATGAACTTGGCGTTGCCTTGCGCTGGCGCGCCGCTGGCGCGCTGGCAGTGCCCGAAGTCATTGTGGATGTTCGCGCGCTCGTGCCAGGGCAAAAACCAAGGGGCGCGTCGGCTCTTGGCGGCGCTGGCAAGAGACCGGGGCGGCGCCCAGGGCCCGCCCCGCACGGGCGCGCATCGAAAAGTTGAGGCCCACCCAAACAGCAAAGTTTAGGCACCTGTCGAAGAAAGCTTATATAAACCAGATCGATAATTCGACTCAAACTTCTCCGAAGCGAAAAGTCTCGCGCGGGAAAGCCCCGAAACATTCCATATAGCCAAAACGCGCGTTTTATGTAAAAACCCAGAACAAGCGCTATGTTGGAACAGTTGCCTCAAGAGAACCGCTCCCGATCTAAGAATTTCCGTCGGCGGGTTACGAGGGGGCGACGGAGGCGGGGGCGGGGGCCCGCGGCTGGGCCAGCGGCGCGCTGCCGTGCGAGAGACAACGCCGCCGTCGCCTCTAACTGCATGCCGCGTCCGTGGCACGCGCGGCCCTGGGAATGCCGGCGCGGGCGCGGCCGCGTCGAGTGGGCCCGGCACGTCGCCGCGCGCGCGGGCCTCCCCTGCGGCAGCGGGCAATGGCCTCGCCGACAGGGCGCCTACACTTACGTACGTTGGCCGTAAATGCAAAACGCCGACATGTACAATCCATGGTTGTGGGGGCTGGGGTCGGTTTCCCACTGTTCACTGAGCCAAAACAGCGTCGGATTAAACGTTCGCTATACAACCTCTCCTTAAGCCTCGTTTGAAATGGGTCCACGAACGAAACCACGAACCGGCGATTCGAACTTTCCGCTCCGAGAGGGGCCCAGGAAACCGCAAGGGCGCCCCAAGAGGCCATAACAGGTCCCCAAGAAAAACCCAAGAAACCCCCCAGAGGCTCCAAGAAGCCACGAACGCGCAAACAAACGCATGCGATGGCAGAATACGGGCCGGTGGAATGAGCGAAACGATTAAATAACTACTCCCTGTCGTACCCCGAGGCCAGTCGGAAGATCGGGCTGGGCGTTTCGCCTAAGACTTCCTCACCGTTCATAGTTTTGAAACTCCGAAATAAGTCATTTTCGCAAACGGAGGGCTGGTCGCTTCCAAATTCTGGTTTTCGCCTTAGCGCCGCGCGCATTCGTCCTAAAACATTTCAAGAATTTCACAGCTGAAGCGCAGCTCTTTTTCAAAATACGGCTCTCGCCTTAGCGCCGCACAGAAGCTTAAAGGATTCTCATGGGTAACGTCTCAAAAGTGGTGTTCTGGCAGGATGTCGGACTGTCATAACGCAACAATTATGTTGATTCGCGGTGTTGGAGTCCCAAGAATGGTGTTCTGGCACGGTTCGGGACCGTCAAGACGCAGCAGTAGAGAGGTGATTGGCGGCACTGATGTTCCAGGAACGGTTGTCTGGCACAGTTCAGGACTTTCAAACGGTTGTCTTCCAACGGGGCACTTCTCTGAGTGACGATGAATCGTTGTGGGGTCCGATGAAAAAGGGGACTTGGAGGGAGAGTGTTGCAACATCGTTGAGGAGCTTTGGTTTCACTCTGGACTTCATCCTCCTCCTGCTACTCCTAACACACAGGGTCAACGGCACTGGCCGTAAGGCATTCGCAATCTCAATGTGTGCGAGGATTGCACTGCTGGAAGGCGGCTCTGGCTTGAGACCTCCGCGGCTGTTCTGCAGATGGCTCTGAAACTGTGTATCCCTTAGGACGGAGGGCAGGTCCTTGTCAAAAGGGAGCTGTCGCTGTACATGCCCTGGAACTTGATGGGCCTACCCCTTTTTGCGCTTCTGAGATAAAGCTCGAAATGAAGGAAGGACTGCGGTACCTTTGAAAAAGTCTCGTTTGAGCGGCAAGCCTACGGGGCGCTCCTCCAATACACGCCCCCTTAGACGATGGGGGTCATTTTTGAAATTCAACTTCCGCTATGACACACGTCGGCGCAACGAGAAACAAGAGCAATGGGAAGGGCAGGTGGAAGGGGCGAACGCACCTGGCTTGACCCTCTTCCCCTGTTCCTCCTCCCTCTCATCCTCTCATCCTCCCCTCCATCTTCGATCCTTCCTCCTTCCGGCCTCCTCCCTCCTTCCTCGTCCATTATCCTACTGCTCCCCCTGACCTCCTGCTAATTGTCCCCCACCCTTGTCCTCCCCGATCCTCCCCAATCCTCCTGTAAGGAAACTGCTGGGACGACCCAACGAGTTTCACATGGGCGCCGAGGACGTCTCCACGTCGACACCATAAGATCAGTATCAATAGGTCTGCCCACCTCTCGCAAGGCCTGGTTCCAGCAATCGCGCCACGGAACGAGTTGAGCGAATGCCCGAATGACGCGGCCTGGCCCCGTGAACCCAATCCCACGCGCAAAGCAGGGCCTCTGGATGGCTGGCCTGGACCAAACCCAGGAGTCAAGGCAATCAGCCCCGGCCATGACGGCTGCTGATCTGGGGTCATACCACAGCCGTGGGCCGATCGAGGCGAGGCTGCCACCTTGGAGCCAACGAAACCTGCGAAACAATCGGGATCCGCTCCTCCTCTGCGCTCTGCCCTCAGATCCTGGGGCCCAGCCCGGCCCCCTCCCCCGGCCGGCTTCCTGCTGCGACAGGGGCGCTGCGTAAGTCGCTGGCAGATGCCTCAACGCGGATGAGAGAGAGAGAGAGAGAAAGAGGCAGGATGAGGGGATGGGGTACGAAAAACTACATGTATAAACATACTATGTTGGATGTCCGCGCAAATTGGATTTCTTGAGTCGGCGATGAACCGCGCCCCACCCCCCTGGCGCGCGAAGCGCGACGTGCAAAATTAGATTACACTCCCGTGCAGCCCAATTCCATGTCCGTTCCTGTCGGTCACGCGCCAGATGTTCTATTCTGAATCGTGTGAGGTCTGTGGAAAACTCAATCCAAGTTGCCAGAAGGCTCTTATGCCAATCATCCGTACTCCTTGGTGTTGCACTCGCCAAAACGTGCCCCCCACTGCCACAACATACCTTCAACGTTTCGTCCCGAGCTCAGACACCCCTGGGTGATACAGCCCCGTGAGGCGGGACAAATCGATCTCCGAACGCACACTTATTACTCCGCCGCCTGTGTGGTCTAAATCTGGTCTAAAAATTGTCGATTTCTGCGGTGTCCTAACCATGCCAACTCAGAATCCCAGTCGCCAGATTATTGTCTTCGGTCTGACCTGAGAGAGCTACGTTTTAGCTATGAAATCGGAGGTGAGGGCGTGAGATCGAAGTGGAACGGAGAGCCCCCCTACCGGGAAATCGGTTTCGGTTTCGTGTTCGTGCGTGCCGTGCGGGCGAGGCGAAGCTGCGTGGGCGGGCGAGAGAAAGTCTCCTGTGGCTGAGGCGCGGCCGGACCAAATGACTCCTTTCCGGGCGGCCGGGGGCCCGCGGTGTCCCGCCGGTGTCCCGCTGGTGTCCCGTGTGGCTGAGGCGCGGCTGGAGCAAATGACTCCCTTCCGGGCGGCCGGTGGCCCGCGGTGTCCCGCCGGTGTCCCGCGGTGTCCCGCGGTGTCCCGCGGTGTCCCGCGGTGTCCCGCGGTGTCCCGCCGGTGTCCCGCGGTGTCCCGCGAGGATGATGATGATGATGATGATGATGATGATGATGATGATGATGATGATGAGATGATGATGATGATGGTGGTGTCCCGATGAAGATGATGATGTTGATGATGGTCTCGATGATGATGATAGTGTCCCGATGATGAGGATGATGATGCTCATGATGATTATGTGGATGATGATGACGATGATGGTGTCCCGATGATGATGATGATGATCATGATGATTCCGATGATGTTGGTGATGATGATGTTGATGCAAATGGTGTCCTGGCGATGATGATGTTGATGATGATGATGGTGTCCTGATGATGATGCTGATGATGGTGATGATGATGATGATGATGGTGATGTTGATGGTGTCCCGATGATGATAATAATGAGAATGACGATGTTGATGATGATGTTGCTCATGGTGATGGTGGTGCCCCAATGATGGTGATGTTGTTGATGATGATGATGCCGATGATAATGATGCGATGATCATGGTTATGATGGTGTCCCGAGGATGATGACGATGTTGATTTTAATGTTGATGATGAGAGCGGTGGTGATCATGATGGTGTCCCGATTATGATGATGATTCTGATGATGCTGCTGATGATGATGACGACGACTGTGTCCCGATGATGATGTTGATGTTGATGATGGGATGATGATGGTGATGATGCTGATGTTGTCGTTGTCCCGATGATGATGCTGACGTTGATGGGTATGATGATGATGACGGTGCCCTCATGATGATGACGATGTTGGTGATGATGTTGATGTTGATGATGATGATGTTGATGGTGATGCTGATGATGATGGCGTTGATTGTGAGAGCGATTGTGATATCGATAGTGAGGTCGATATTGGGACCGAATGCGAGATCGATTGTGTGATCGATTGTGATATCGATTGTGAGATCAGTTGTGAGATCGATCGAATGAGATAGATCGAGTGATATCGATTGTGATATCGATCGAGTGAGATCGATCGAGCGAGACCGATAGTGATATCGATACTGAGATGGATAGTGAGACCGATCGAGTGAGACGTTGGTTCCCCCCCCCCGAACCTCCTTATCACCCGAAGGGTGGTCGTATAGGTATAATCTCGCCACCAAGGTTGCATTCCCTGTCACGTTTTCCGCATTCCCGCTCGCCCCCACGGACTCGCAAGCAAAAGGCCGCGCGCACGTCGATGCGAGGTGGTCTTAATGCGGTCTAGAAGTGAATTCAGAATTAATAATTGGTTACAAGTGGTAAGCCATGTGCCCAAATGTGTCCAATGTGGTCTAACATCTGTTTGATTGTGGTCTGACAGTGGCCCAAAAACGGTCGAGAAGCGTTCCAAGCATTATCTAAATTGTTGACGCTTCGCGTATCCCCACCAGCCCATCCAGAAACGATGCCCAGGGGAGTTGAGGTGATCAGGGAAGTCGGGTAGCATGCAGAATAACAAAGGGCGGGCGAAGCTGTCACGTACCCCAAGAGGGGGAGGATGGAGAAGGAATCCTCGTCGGAGGGGGGGGGGAGGAAGAGGAGGAGGAGGAGGAGGAGGATAATGAGGAGGAGGAGGATGAGGAGCAGGGAGAGGACGAGGAGGACGAGAAGGAGGAGAAGGAGCAGAGGGAGGAAAAGGAGAAGGAGGAGGAGGAGGAGGAGGAGGAGGAATAGGGGGGTGAGAAATTGAAGAGGACGGCGAACCGAAGAGCCAGAAGCGTCTTAAATGCATGTCGGAGATCCTCTTGAGGCTTCTTGGGGGTCTCTTGGGAGCCTCTTGGAGGCTTCCTGGGCGCCTCTTGGGGCCGTCTGGGCGCCTCTTGGGGCGGTCTTGGGGCGATCTTTGGGGCTGCAGGGGCGCTCTTGGGGCCATCTTGGAGGAGATCGATCAACGAAGGGGGGGTCCCTAATTAGCCTCCCCCCTCAGGAACTCCAAACATCGCCTCTTGGGGCGCTCTTGGGGCGCTCTTGGAGCGCTCTTGGGCGCTCTTGGGGCCGTCTTGGGGCGCTCTTGGGCCTGTTGCGGGGCCCGCTTGGGCCATCTTGGAGCCATTTTGAGGCCTCGGATGGCCATCGGAAGCGGAAAGGCGATACAGCAAAAAATCATTGTTCTTTTTCCACAAGTTGTGGGACGATGTTGGGCCTCGTCGGGGCCTCGTCGGGGAGCTCTTTGGCCACAAGGAGCCGTCTTGGGGCCGTCTTTGGGCCTCTTGGACCATCTTAGGAGCCATCTCGAGCGATCTTGCGCTATCTTGAGCCATTTTGGAACTCATCTTGGGCTCTCTGACGCGCTCTTGAAGCCATCTTGGGGCCAAAAGAGCCGTCCGACCGCTCGCGAAACCCTCCGTCCAGGTCCAGGGGAGGGGGTAGGGGGAGGGGTAAACCCCTCCCCAAGGGGGAAGAGGGAGGGGTGAAAGAGGATCTGTTCTAGACCACCTACGCCCAGAGGGCTGGTGGGACTTGGTCTGGATGCGGTCTAAACATGGTCTGACGTCGAGAGCCGCGCCGCACGCGCGCTCGGTCACGCGCAGCAGTGATGACCATGGCACCCCGGAGAAGGAAGTGGAGAGGATGGGCGGGCAGCAGCTCGGCGGCGGGAAACGCAGCGAAACGAGCAGGCAGACAGGACAGGAAGAAGGAGGAGCAGGCAAATGGAGGAGGAGGAAGAGTTCAGCACCTAAGACCCACTGAAAGAGAACATGGCACACAGGCGCACTCGCCCCCGAGCCTACGCGAGCAAATGGGAAAACCGCGCTGGCACCAACGATGCCGCAACGGGCGGCGCCTCGAAACCGTAACAACTTTGCCATCGCCACATGGGCAACTCAATCCCACCAGCCCTCTGGGCGTAGGTGGTCTAGAACAGATCCTCTTCCACCCCTCCCTCTTCCCCCTTGGGGAGGGGTTTACCCCTCCCCCTACCCTCTCGCCTGGACCTGGACGGAGGGTTTCGCGAGCGGTCGGACGGCTCTTTTGGCCCCAAGATGGCTTCAAGAGCGCGTCAGAGAGCCCAAGATGAACTCCGAAATGGCTCAAGATAGCGCAAGATCGCTCGAGATGGTTCCTAAGATGGTTCCAAGAGACCCAAAGACGGCCCCAAGACGGCTCCAAGTTGCCATAGAGCTCCCCAAGGAGGCCCCGACGAGGCCCAAATCGTCCCAAAACCATGGGGAAATCAATGATTGGTTGCTTTCTCCCCGTTTCGCTTCCGATGGTCATCCAGGGCCTCAAGATGGCTCCAAGATGGCCCAAGAGGGCCCCACAACAGGCCCAAGAGAGCCCCAAGACGGCCCCAAGAGCGCCCAAGAGCGCTCCAAGAGCGCCCCAAGAGCGCCCCAAGAGGCGATGTTTGGAGCTCCTGAGGGGGGAGGCTAATTAGGGAACCCCCCTTCGTTGATCGATCTCCTCCAAGATGGCCCCAAGAGCGCCCCTACAGCCCCCAAGATCGCCCCAAGACAGCCCCAAGAGGCGCCCAGACGACCCCATGAGGCGCTCAAGAAGCCTCCAAAAGGCTCCCAAGAGACCCCCAAGAAGCCTCAAGAGGATCTCCGACATGCATTTAAGACGCTTCTGGCTCTTCGGTTCGCCGTCCTCTTCAATTTCTCACCCCCCTATTCCTCCTCCTCCTCCTCCTCCTCCTCCTCCTTCTCCTCCTTTTCCTCCCTCTGCTCCTTCTCCTCCTTCTCGTCCTCCTCGTCCTCTCCCTGCTCCTCATCCTCCTCCTCCTCATTATCCTCCTCCTCCTCCTCCTCCTCCTCCTCCTCCTCCTCTTCCTCCCCCTCCCCCTCCGACGAGAATTCCTTCTCCATCCTCCCCCTCTTGGGGTACGTGACAGCTTCGCCCGCCCTTTGTTATTCTGCATGCTACCCGCTTCCCTGATCACCTCAACTCCCCTGGGCATCGTTTCTGGATGGGCTGGTGGGGATACGTTTTTTTGATCTGCGGCTCCAAGGACGATTCCAGAGAGCGGATAGTATCGAGCATGCGGGGGCACGCCAGATAATTACCGGCGGGCCAAAAGCCAGCGCCGAGGTGCAAGCAAGAGCACGAGTGAACACGCCAGACAATTAGAAGGAAACAAACAGAGAGCGGGCGAACCAAGCAAGGGGGAACCAACAAATTACCAGCGGGCCAAAAGCCAGCGCTGAAGTGCAAGCAAGAGCAAGAGTAAACACGCCAGAAAATTAAGAGCACATTAGCCGGAGCGGGACAGCGGCAGCGGAAAGTCTCGCAGTGGCGCCAGCTCTTAGGCGCAGGCCAACGAAAGACTGGGGGGGGCCCGGCGGGGGGGCGGCGACGCGGGCCGGAAAGGACAAAGCGGGAAGAAAACCCGCGGGCCCAAACCCAGCGCGAGGAGGCGCGGATGGGCGAGAAAATTACCAGCGGGCCAAGAGCCAACGCCGGAAGTAGACAGGAACCATGAACCCTCCCACTGCTGCCCCCGCCGCTGTCCCACTGAGCTGTCCCACTGTTCCCACCACTGTCCCCACTGTCCCCACCACTGTCGCCACAGTACCTCTGTTCCATTGTCCCACCGCCGTCCTCGCCACCACCCTAGCCACTGTCCTTACCACCGCTGTACCCTCCAGTGTCCCAGTGTTTCCACCACGTTCCCTCTGTCCCCACACCACTGTCCCCACCCACCACCGCCCCCACCACTGTCCCACTTTCCCCACTGTTCCCACCATTGTCCCCGTTGTCCCCACCAGTGCCCTCACCAGTGTCTCGCTGTCCCCACTCTCCCCACCATTGTCCCACCACGGTCCCACTCTGCCCAATTGCCCCACGGTCCCCACCACTGTCCCACTGTCCCCACCACTGTCCCACTGTCCCCGCCGCTGTCTCACTGTGCTGTCCCACCGCCCCCACTGTCCCCATCACTGTCCCCATCACTGTCCCACTGTCCCCACCACTCACTTTCCCCACTGTACTACTGTCCAACCACTGTCCTCACCGCCGCCTTCACCATTGTCCCCGCCACTACCGTCCCCACCACTGTCCCACTGTCTCCACCACTGTCCCGCTGTCCCCTAACCACTGTCCCCACCACCACCACCGTCCCCACCACTGTCCGCACCACCGTCCCGCTGTCCCCGCACCACCACCGTTCCCACCACTGTCCCCGCATCCCCACCATTGTCCAACTGTCCCGAAGAGCGGGGATCGTTTGCCGGCGGCGAAGGGGGGGGGAACCGGTAGTGACCCCCCCCGGTTTTCGGGGGGTGGGGCCTTCGAACCGGTAGTGACCCCACCCCCTTTTCATGATGGGCTGGGGGAGGGAGGGGTTCGAACCAGTAGTGACCCCCCCTGGTTTTCACAGGGGGGGAGGACGGGTTGGGAACCCACAGTGACCCCCTCGGTTTTCCGCCAGCAGCGGTAGAACACGCTCTTTCCTAAATCGCATACCAACGCGGGGCACCGCCCCCTGGCCCGTCGAAGGAACAGCTGTCCCTCTCGAAACTGGTTTCACTTCTGTAGCCCTGCGTGAAGCGTGTTTGGGTGGCCCAACGGGGCGGCCAGGAGACCCAAAGCTCTCACCCTCCAAACTGTCTCCATTGTGGAGGACCCGCGCGGGGGGCTTCCGAGGAGGGCCAGGCGAGACAGCCCAGGGAGGTCAAATCGTATAGCATGGGGGGGAACGCCCTCTGGGCTGGACGCCCTTGGAGCATACGAGTAACAATTCGACGGTCCATTTTTTGATACTGGCTGTTTGTTCACTTCCACGGCTTCACCACATCAGCCAAATAGGCGACTCCCTACAGCAACTGCGAAATATGGTGTAAGCTAAATGCACCGAGCAACAGGTGCAAAGAATTGGGCGACTTCGCCTCGGCGAGCGCCGTTTCGGGGAGGGGGCTTCGCGAGTTCCTTCCCGAGCGCCCACTATGGCCCCCTCTCCTTACGGATCCACTCTCTGCTCGGCCGCCAACAACAGGCACTGTTGCAAGCCTTGAGAGCCCCTGTCTTGCCTGCAAAGACCAAGAAACAATGCAGAAGCAGGAGAGACAGCTAGACAGAGTGCAGCCGAACAGAGATATTGAACAATTCTCTGCAGCGGCTGCGCACGAGCGAGAGGTGTGCCAAGGCGCGAGCGCGAGACTTAGCCCAGCGACCCAACGCTGGGTGGCCCCTCGCAGGCCCACTCGAACCAACGGGAACGAGCTACACCTGGACAGGGACCCGCAGCCTGACTACACAACAACCTCTGCAGACCCTCAGCACGAGGACCGTCCACCACACGCCCTAGACGGGGAGAGCTGGGTAGCATCGGCTGTACACGACACTGCCCAGAGAGTCCTGAAAGCCACGGCAGGGCGCACGGTCGGGGAAGACGGAGTTGCCTACCCCGTGCCCTGACGCGCGCTCTGAACACTAAAGGGGCGGCCCCCTGAGCAGCGGTCACCGCAGGGGAGACATCACCCCACGGCCGTGCACCAGGGGGACGAGGACAACACTAGGCAGTGAAAAGGACGGCCATCGACGCCTGCGCGACGGAACTTCAAGGCCCGAGTTCCAGGGCTGGCAGCGTAACCAGCACCGCCGCGCAGGACGCCGCAAAACCCCAGATCGAACCCGCCACGTGAGCCCAGGGGAGGAGGTGCGGCGGCAAGCGGACGAGTAGGCGGAGGACGAGGGAGAGCAGGTGCAGTGGGAGGAGCGGGAAGAATAGGCAGGAGAAAAGGAGGAGCAGGAGGAAACCAGGAGAAGGGGGCGGACGACGACGACGACGAGAAGGCAGAGGAGGGCGAGGAACGAGAAACAGCAGAGGAAGAATGAGACAGAGGAGACAGCACGACGTTCCAAGGAATAAGCTTGATCACCATGGTTTCTACCCTCGTGAGGGGCGCTACAAGATAATTCCTGAATAATTGCACGGGGAGGGGACGGGAGGAGCCGCAGTGTCTGCTGTGCCTGGTAGATTTGCTGACTAGTCGCTCTGGGCGTGACTGGGCTGGATCTTTAGAGCGCCCCCTAATATCATATGTTCGGCGACCTTATTGGCGGACTGGGGCCCCGCCAAGATCTGAAAATAATTGTTTTTGTTTCCGCGGCACGCGATACGACCACGACTACGACTACGCGTACGACTACGATCTGCAACTCAAGAACGGCTTCGATTACGATTACAACCACGACAACAAGCGCGACTACTCCACGCCCACTGATTCCCAGTGTAATCCTCATGAGAAGATGATCACACATCCTCTCGCGTGTAGGGCGGCCCATACTTATTCCCTGGGAGAAACTCCCCCGACAATATCCAGACTTCCTCAACAATAGAGGGGACATGATATCAGCCGCGACGACGACTACGATTACGACTACGACTACGATTACGATAACAGCGAATACTACGATTACGACTGCGATTGCGACTGCAAGCGCGATTCCAACCACGACTACAGTCCGACTAGAATCATGAATACAACCGCAACCACTGGTTCAGATTGCAATCCTCATGAGACGATGCTCACGGATCCTCTCGCGTGTAGGGTAGCCCACAATGGATTGTTCCTTGGGAGAAATCACCCCCCTAAAACATTATCCAACCAGTCAAACATGTATACAAAAAACGACCACGACGACGACCACGATAACAACGAGGAGCAGGAGGAAGTGGAGGAGGAGAAGCAGGACCAGGAGGGGCAGGAGGAGAGGGGGAGGAGAAGAAGGAACACGAGGAGGAGGAGGAGGAGGAGGAGGAGGGGCGAGTTTGTGCCCCGCGGAGGGAAACAGAGGGGGGGGTACAGAACTAAACACCTCCCGAGGCTACCTCCCGCCATCAAGGTAGAAATGCCCCTCGGAGAGGTGCCTCAACAAAATCATTCGACGACCTCCAAGAATTTCCGCTTGTGAGCGTCAAGCCACCGGTGCTGTTGTGCACGCGGCCCGAGTAGACAGGGAGGGCGCAGGCGAAGGGGGCAAATGGCGCACGCGCGCGCCTGCAAGGCACCTCTCACAGACATGCGACCACTGATCCCAGGAGGAAGGAAAAGGGAAAAGGGGGGCGCGGAAGGAGGGGGGACGAGGGGAGGGTGAAGTGGTGAACCTCCTTCGCATCCCTCCACCACCTTTCCAGCCTCTGGTCCGCTATCCTCTCTGCTTTCCTCCCTCCGTCACTGCAAGGTGAAGCAGAAGAGAGGGGAGCAAAGGAGAGGAGGGAGCCCGGGCAGGAGATGGACAAGAGAGGGGAGGGAGCAAGATGGAGCAGGGGAAGGGGGGGAAGAAATGGAGGGGCCGCAGAGAATCGTAGGCGTCATCGTGCCCACCTCGGAAGTGCCCCTGCCTGCGCCTGCACCAGCGTGCCCGCGCTGCCAGATCTGCGCGGCACACCGCCAGCGACGCCGTACGACCACCGCCGTAGCAGAGCTATGACGACAACGCTCCATCTAAGGCATCGCAGGCCGACGGTGACAAGCGAGGATGGCATCGCAGGCCGACGATGACTTCCGACCGCGGTAACAGAACGATGTCGATAACGTAACGATTGAGGCAACTCTCCTCCTGCCGCATCACTCTATTTCTTGCTCCCTCGTCCTGCTCGTCCGAGCCGTCTTCCCCCCTCTCTCTCTCTCCTCCATCCCGTCCTCCAGCGTCCCACGTTATTTGTCAAGATCATCCTCATGCTCCTCCGTCTCTGTATCTGCTAATGCACCTGCTGCGGCTGCTGCTGCTGTTGATGCTGCTGCTTCTGCTGCGTGTATTCATTATGCTTATCTCCTTTTCCTCCACCCCATCCTCTTCCTCCTCCTCCTCTTCCCCCCACCTTCTCCGCCCCCTCCTCCACACGTCCTCCCCGAGGAAGGCGTCCGCCGTGCGTGCCCCCCGTCGACGACGCATGCGCCACATGACGACCAGAACGCCCAGAAGACCCTCCACGCAGCGACCACATCTTCGCAACAGGGGAAGCACGACGACAATGGAGAACAACGAAATGCAGATTCACGACTCCCGCTTTGGCACCGCCAGCGACGATGTCAACAACAACCCACCACAACAGGAGACACCAACAACGCCAGGCTGGCACACTGAGGGCGACGACGAAAGCGAGAAGGGAGACGCCGTGCGTGACACAGTGGGTCGCCTATATTAAACGACCCACGCGGAACGCGGAGCACCACTACATCGACTGATGGCCCACGACGCAGACGCGTATGGCATGGCGCACGGCCACGAAGATCGCCAACCCCGACACTACCAGGTGGACCTGAAGGCACTACAGCGACAACCCTGCGCCAGCATGCAACAGCAAGGACGACGACCTCAACAACTCCCTTCGCACGAGACGTCCCGACCTACACCCGCCACGCGCGGCAGAGCGCGAACAAGCCCGACCCGACGACCCCAGGTGGGCGCGAGCAGCCAAAGAAGCAATCGCCTGGTCTGAAATCGAGGACGACTACACCAATGCACTGGCAAGCATTGAAGACCTCTGAACGACACATCACCCCCGCGGCATACACAACACACGCCGACATCCACACCAAAGCACGTGCAGACCAACGACGATGATTGCGACCAGGACAAGACAGGACCCCTCTCTCCTCCCACACCCCTCCACCTTTCGTTACTGTGCATGTGTCTCGCGCAGAACAGCACATGCCATATCCCCGAGACCACGTTCTCCTCAACCTGGTCTTGGTTAGGCCTGGACGCCTGTCCGCACTGGCGATCGCTCGCTCACTTGCTCTTCTTCCTCCCCCCTCTACGACCCCTCCTCCATGTCCTCCCCGGGAGAGGTCTCCGCCAAGAATGCCCCCACACCGCATAAGACAGGTCACCACCTTGAGCTGATCATATGACGTGGAACTTGCGCATTTCTGCAATGCGGCACTGCCTGGAAAGGACGTATGAACTTCACTATGCGCATACAAAGGGCCAACTACTATGTGCTCTCGAGGACAGTTTCCCCGGGGACGCCTGCGCCTCGAACCACCCCCGATGAACTTCAAAAACAGCAAACAATGACGCCGTGTCTGCACGACACATCGGCTAAAGCAATGCCGCTGGATATAGGCGCGTGTCCGCTATGGCAAAAACAAGCACAGTTCAGACTCGGATGTCCAAGCGTCTAGATGTAGAAGAATCAGCCCGCATTCATGTAATTGCACTTGGATGCATGGGATGAGGAGGGGGGAGGAGGTCTGCACACTTCCTTGGGGGTTCTCCTGGTTCTGCCAGTCTAGACAAGCCATACCATGGCGGCGCGTCGGGCCACTGACCTCCAGTAGCCTCCAGAGGCATCCACATCCTCCAACGGCCCATCCGCTGGATCCCCCCTCCCTCCCTGGAGGCCAGGAGGCCTCCAGAGCCCCGACCTTACCCAGGAGCTTCCCACAGGGCCCATGTTTCATCCCGAGTCGTCTTCTGACGGCCCTGGGCCTGGAGAAGGCCGCAGGAGGCCGAAAAACTCTTAAACACATCCAGGACAGGACCCGTATACGTCAAAATCCACAGGGGCAATGTTTCATCCCAGATCGATCTTTGCGGTCCTGGGCCCACAAGCGGGCCCCCAGATACCGAACGTGTAGCGACACTCCATCCATTCCTCCTCGAGCCAAGACCTAGGCACCGGCTTCCACCAGCGGCTGGGCTTGCTCTCGGTCGAGCGCGGGGTACGCCGCCCCCCCTCGCGGGCGGGGTGGAGGGGCCTCTGCTCCTGCGGCTGCGCGGCCTCGCGGCGGGGAGGGTGGCACGCAGAAGACATCTCTACACCCACCACCACCGTGCCAGGCCAGGGCCATCCTGGGTCTCGTCACGGTGTTTGGATGTATGGTGTCCAAATAGTTACGCCATCTTGGCCGAGTCCAGGAGGGTTTATACACCAGGTTAGGGTCAGCGCCGCTGGGCAAGCACGGTGGTGGATGCCTTCTGCGGAGGACAGACCCGCTGGGAGTCGGCCAATTACAGCTAGTCGCCATGAAGGAACGATGTGCTGAGGAAACTGGTGCTGGAGGACCTTCGCGGTTTCCCCGCTGCCGGGGCCCTCCGCAGGCCCCGGGACAATCAACAGAAACACATCAAAATGAAAAACTGGTCCTGGGGAGAGCCCCCAAGGTTAGGCGCCTCGTGGACGCCCCCTGCGCTGGGGGTGTGTCTCGAGGATCCGCCTCGTTGACGCTGTGCCCTCGCGGGGGTGCGTTGTAGGCGCAATGTGCGATGGGTGAGTCCCAAGAATTCGCCTCATTGGCGACCATTCCCGCTCTTGGGCGCCTCGTAGACACCCCGTGCGCTGGGTGGGTGTTCCGAGAACTCGCGGCGTTGGCGCCAACGCACGCTCTTGGGCGCCCCGTGGGGGCCAGATGGCTTGCACCGCATAGCTCACACACCGCACAACATAACTCGCACAACATAAACTGCACTACATATCCTTCACAACATAGCTTGCACCGCTTGCACGGCATAAATTACACAACACAAATTCGACGGCATAAGTCACACCACCTAGCTTCCGCAACAAATATTGTACCGCATAGCTTCCCTAGCGCACCGAATAGCTCACTCAACACAGCTCACACCACGCAGCCCAGATATATTTCATCTCCACACGGCAATGGCTCACTGTTTGGGGGTCCGCACTGGCTGACATGTTCATTGTGAACGGAACTGAAATGGCGGAGGCTTGCGCCAACCGACAAAGGCCGAATTCGGATTGGGAGGGAACGCGATCCGACATCCAAACAACTCCAACGAGAGACTCTGGCTGCCACTCGCGGTGTAGAAACGCAGTGCGGGCGGCCGCTCCGGGCAAAGGTCTAGGAGCACGGCCTGTTCTGCTACTGATCCGGGAAGAATGTCAGGAGCATGGGGGAGAGTGCGAGCTTGCCTGGGAGAATCCATATCGAAGCGCTCTCGCATCAGGGGTAAGGCAGGGTAGCTGTGGGAATCCTGAGTGCGAGGAAAAAATAAGCGAAAAAGAGGACGACGGACGACGCGGGAGCTGGACGGGGGGCTCAGCGAGGCCAGATTCACTCGCTCGCTGTTGCTGCGGAGAAATATGTGCCAGTGGTTTGGCGTTTGGCGTTGACTTCCATTCCGAGCTTTCATATACTGACGCGGCGGGTGTCGGGCGTCGTGGGGTTCAGAACGTGTCCACCCTTCGGGGGGAGAAAATGGCTGCAGCGAATTCTCAAACAAACAACACAACAGCTTGTCGAGTCCGACGGCATGGGACGGGGAGCAAAGTACGAGTGATTCCACGCCGTTCGAGAAAGGTTCCTCGAGAAACTGCTCATGTCATTCGCTGTCATTTTCCCGATCTGGTTCTCGGGTTCAAATTGGCCATCATGCGGAAACCGTGTCAGGGGATGGGGGCCCGTTCGAGGCAAATCTAATTACCTCCAGAAGCATCGCGATCAACAACTAAATAATTTCGCGCGTACGCCACCACGACAGGCCGAACACTTGAGCGCTGCATGCGGTAGCTCTGGGAGGTGAATTTGAGATTGCCGATGCTCAAACACTATTCGCCGTTCGGATCGTCTCCTCTGGGTCAACGGCGCCATCGTATGCAAACCCTGTCGTGGTATCAATATTCGGTTTGAGTATCCACTGGTGGTTCTTCCTATCTACGGGCCGAATGGCATTATCACGTTTTGGCGCCAGACCCTCGCGCCCCTTCTCGCCGCGCACGGGTTCAAAAAATCATTGTTGGACGTTTGCTCGTGGGCGAAACGGTCGTGGCACAAACAATCGTACAAAGGCGGATGAATGAATGACCGGCTACACGTTTGTTTGAACGATGTGTTGGGCGCTGGCATGTGAAAACTAGGGGTTCAGGAATGCGCGGGGGCAATACTGCAATGGTGTACACCAGCAGGGGTATGGGATTCTCCTGGATCCCGATCAGTATGGACATGGTGGACCAATTCAGCGGCATGCCGCTGTGGAAAACTGGCACCTCGCCGCGTCTGCTACTCTTCGATCTGAAAACTCACGGATTGCTGGCTGTCCGGGTGCACTGGAATGGCCACGAGGCGCGGCAGACAACGCTTCTCTCTGTCGTGCCGCGCCGCCGCCCCCGACTGAAGAGGGCGCCCTTTCTGGGCATCAACAAAGCGAGACATCTCAAATACCCTGGCAGCCGGGGGGGCGCTTCGAGACCGGATAGCAAATCAATGTCGTCGCGATTATGCCCAGCGCATGGTGGGGGGCAATGTCCGCAACACCCGAGGGAACGCGGGACGCTTAGCGTGCGCCGCGGCCTCGGAGGCATCGCGCAAACGTACGACGACGCTATGTGTCCCGTCCTGGCGCTCGTCCAAACTCGACAGAATCGCGGCAAACACGGAGGCGGCCGAGGCCATGAATCGATCGCAGCGCCGAGCCCAGTCGCGATCCAACATACTTACAACAAAGGGCGCCATGGATATCCTCATCACGCCCCCAGTGAGATGTTTCGGGAGATTCGGATGGGGTAGTTTTGAAAATGCCCCGGAGAAGTCTTGAACGTCCGAGACGCGCCATGGGAAAACTCGCAACGGGAGTCGGGGCAGGAACAAGAGGCAGCGTTGCCGCAGGCCACCTTGATGCCCTAGCAGCCGCTTCATCGCGCTGCCCCCTCGCTGCCGATTGGTCCAAGCGCTCCATCGCTGGCGCCTTCGTCGCGCCGAGGCCCTCAGCCGCCTCGAGCTGCCCGAGCGCCCCCCTGAAAGCGGGCCCGTCTGCCGAAGGCGCCCGGCGCGGGCCGGGGCGGCAGCGGTCGTGGAACGCCATGCTGTCCTCCGCTGAGCGGCGGCGGTCTGTGGCGGGGGTGCTCTTCTGCGCATCTATCTGTCTACTCGTTCCCAGCGACGCGTCGACCTCTGAGCGGCCCATGGCGAGGCCCCCCCTCTCGCGCCGGGCGGCGAATCGCTGCGTCGGCCACCGACCCCCCTCTCATCGAGGTCGCGGGGGCGAAAATAAGAGGGCCGTCTCCCCCTCGGGGCGGGGGCCACGTGCCAGCGCAGCCGCCTTCCCCGTGCAAAACCGCTTCAAGCACCAGGTGTCCTCCTGGCCCAAACGCGGCCCCATCTCCGACGCGCGCTAGACGGCGCGCGCGGGCACGGTTCCGGCGCGCCCCGTGCGTCGCGAGTCGAATGGGAACGCGGCGCAAACCGCGTCGCGAAGGCGGTCCGCCCACGGCCCGCGGCCCAGGGCGCCCCCCGCCGGCGGCCCGCAGCCGCGCAGAGCGGCCCCTCGTCGGCCAGGGGTGTTCGAAATTGGGCGCCTCGCGCGGCGACGGCACGCTCGCGCGTTCGACGGTTGCCGCGGCCGCGCGGCAGAGGGACCTCGTTCCGGTCGCACCTATCTGCCTCAGGGAAGGCGCTGTTCGAGCGAAACTCGGTCAGGTCCGGCATGACGTGGATGGCGGGGCGCCCTGGCGCAGTCCCAGGTTTTGCTGCGCGCGCTCAAGCGCCCCTCGCTTGCGTGCGCAAGTATGGGTCAACTGTGGCTCAGGTGTAATCTAAGTGTGTTGCAGATGTAGTCATTGTAGTTCAAGTGCAGTTCAAATGTAGTTATGGTGCACTCCCCTGGTAATGCAAGTGCCTTTTAGATGCAAGTCAGGTGTAGTTCATCCGTGGTTCAGGTGCAGTCATTGCCGTTCAAATGTAATCCAAGCATGGGCTCGAATCGCAAATCAAATTCAAATATAATTCAGGTGGAAATCAAGTGTGGCGAAAGGTAGACCTTGTAGTTCAAGTGCGGCTACCCGGTGGAATTCTCGTGTCGCTCAAAAGTTGTTTGAATCTAAGTCGGGAGCAGTTCGAGCACGGTTCGGGCGTGGCCCGCGTAGTTCAAACATGCGCGTGTGTCTCAGGTGTAGCTCAAGCGCGGTCCAAGTTATCTGTTGTAGCTCAAGTGTGGTTCAGGTGTATCTCAAGCGTGGTTCACATGTACTTCAGGGGAAGACCACGCGAAGGTTATTGTAACTCATGTGGATCAGGTGTACTTCAAGCGTAGCTCAACAAATCGTTATGGTGTGATATTGTTACTCCAAGTGCAGTCATAGGTGGGACCAAGTATAGTTCAAGCGAATTTCAAGAAATGTGTGGCCCTTTTACGTTAGGTATAGTTCATGAGTGGTCGAAATGTAATCCAGGCTTGATTCAAATAGAGTTCAAAGGTAATTCAAGTGTGTGTCAAGTGTGGTTCTCCAGTCGTGCAAATGTGGCGCATGTGCAGCCATTCGAACTCATGCGAGCTTCACTGTAGTTCAATAGTGCAAGTGAGATCCAAGTGCGGTTCCAAGGGCAGTCCAAGTGTTGATCAAGTGTGGCTCAGGCGTTGCTCAAGTCTGTGGTCGTGGCGCGCCCCCGGAAATTCAAATGTAGTCGAAAGCGTAATGCATGTGCAGATTAAGTGCGATCCAAGTGCAACTCAAATGTATTACAGGGGCGGCTCAAATGTAGCCCAGGTGCGGCTCAAGTACGGTTCGGAAGAGTCCTTGTAGATGAACTGTAATTCAAGCGTTCTTCAAATGTAGTTCAAGCGCTGTTCAAGTGCAGTTCAAGAGTGGTTCAGTGTAGACCCAGTGTAATTGAACTGCGGTTCAGGTGCAGCACTGGGAGTCGAGTTTTAATTCAAGCGCGGCCAACGTGCATATCAGGTGTCGTTGAGGTATGACCCCGGCGTATCTCATATGTAGTTCGCGGGAGGCTGAAGTGTAGTTCAGTTGTGGTTCAGGTGTGGATC